AACTGTTCATAAACGTTGACAGGTCCTGACATAAAACCTTGAAAGTCAGGCTGTATTATTCACCTCTGTGAGTAGGGATTGGCATGTCTAAAAACTTTAAATATAGGAAAGAAGATAAAATAGTGATAACTGGATTTACAAGGAGAACAGCATGAACAGAGTAAAAGAGAAAGAAACCAGTGAACAGGAAGTAGATTCTTCAAATGTAACATAAGATACATGTAGCATACACAGAAATGGAATAGTTTTGGCTATGGTTTTAAAAATGGCATGCCATTGATACAAATGAGTTTGTGCTTGAAGACATAAAGGGTTTGGTTTTAAACTTACAGAATATAAAATAATGAGATCAATGCAAAAGGAATTTAGAGGTCTAGATCAGGAAATTGGGATCCAAATGGAAATACAGAATTGTGATAGCTCTTCAGAAGGAAAATCGATGATATTATAAAGGAAAAGGTGAGAAAATAAAAAACAAACAAGGACTAAAACTTAAAGTGTGTAAGCTATTAACATTAAGAACTGCTGAAAAGTTTAACTTGACAGTTTGAGAGAACTGTATGGCTTTTGATATTTGTGAATGTCATCCAGAATAAATGTATTTTCAGTTATACATACTTAAAAAGAACTCACATTTCCATGCACCCTAAGTATATCTAGCTGTAGAATTGTAAGCACCAGAAAGACTGTCCGGATATACTCATTTAGTCTGTCTGTTTACATATGCCTTTGTTTATTTTCCTGTCTGGGTGAGATTTTCATTTCCTGGTTATATGTCTAGATGGTTTAAATGAAAGGCAAGTCTCACAGCTGTAAATTCCTGCGTATGAAACTAGTATTACTTTATATCCACAAAGACTGACAGTGCTAATGATGGTTTTCCCAAAATGTTTGCAGTGTCATTTGTTGGTTTGCATCTCTGTGGCATTTCCAAAATAGAGAAGTTATTTACATTTTGCTGTTTAACATTTCCAGAGGTATATATTTTTCTTTTTTCCTTTTGCTCTGCTAAGAATAGCAGAATAAGTGGGAAAGACGTTTAGAGAAAGAATGTCATTAAATTGTTCCATGTTAAAATATTTTTTGGGGGTTGGGATATGGCTCAGTGGTAGAATGCATGATTACAAGGACCAAGGTTTGAGCCCTAGCACTGAAAAAAAAAAAAAAAACAAGCAAAAGATTCTATATTTTCCCTTTTAGTCTTTTAAACCATATTTGTATGTTTCAGTATGCAAGATCGAATATTTCATTATGAAGCATTGGGGAGTTCCATTAAAGGCAGATTTTAAAGAGCGTTAGTCATTAATGTACCTGATAACCTGGGTGAGAAGAAAGTATAAATTTGTGTTGCCGAAATTGCCCCTTCTTTGCTTTCCATATTTCGTTGGCATGTTTAAATATTTAAATCTCTGCTGATGAAATGAAGAACTTGACATCAGATGGAAATATTGCTGTGGCCATGAACTATCCATCTTTTTCTTCTCTTATGACTCTGCTTTCAAGCGTGATAATAACCCAAACATATACTCTCTGAGATGACATTTTTTGGTTCATGTAGATTGAAATATTGATTACTCAACTTTATCTCATTGGCATATAAAATGCTAGGAAAGAATATGAATATCACCTCTGGTTTTGGTTCAGCCATATTTGTTCAGTTTCTCCCCAGGTTTGCCATGCATTTGGTTTGTTGGGAGAAAAGTTGGTGGAAGGTGTTGGATAAAAAGAGGCTAGAATGTGTTTGAGATTTTTCTCAAGTCCATTAAAAACCTATGATGTCCAATGATACCTTTAAGAGAATAATAGAAATGATTAGAGCATGGGGTTTATATGGAAGAGCTGTTAGAAACCAACTTTTTGTTTTGTATTAAAAGCAATGGAAAGCCAGAGAAATGAGTAATATGTACCTATTCAAGTAGCTAATGAGTAGACAAATTAGAAGTAGAGCATGAGTTTCTTGATTCAGTTTGTTTTCTATGCATATGTGATAAGTTTCCAGTAGTTAAAATTCAGTAGAGTTTTGGTGAGGAAAAGTCAAATTATTATTACTGTTTCCCCAATCTGACAGGAGATAAGATGAAAGCATAGGTAAGAAATTAAGAATAATTTTTTTGGAATCTCTATGGAAATCATTTTTGAAGGAACCTTTGGATTCATAAAAAATAAATATTTCATTTTTGGCTCTCCAATTAAAGAGAGGTATCGATATTTGTATTCTTGGTATTGTAAACTATTTCATAACACATAGGAAAAGGAATAAATTTTAGATTTTGATTCAATAACAGGGTGAACCACTCTTTGAGGTGTCGTGGGTTCAGTTCTTCAGTTTATAACCTGAGTTTGCCATTCTGTCTCACAAATCTCAGATGAGGAAACACACTTCAAGAAACTCAAAAAGCTGCCTATCTAAAAAAATTTTGGGAAAAATTGACTTCTATAATATCAATAGATTAAGCAAGTTCTTAGCTTCATTCCACTCAAGGACTAAGTGGAAGACTAAAGGAGATAACATAGGAAACAGAAAAGACAGAAGAATCACTGAGCAGGTAGTCAGATATTTTAAAAGGGGAATAAAGTTTACTCCCATTGTGCATTGCTTATTCATCTGCCTCAGCATTTTTGCATTTCAATAGCTATAGACTTTTGTATTCTGCACTGCTAGCAATGTAAGCATCCTAGCATCATCTGTTATCACTAAGTTTTGTATCTCCAGTGTGCATTTAATCACTCCAGAAATGCATATGCCATGAGATCCCATGTTCTTTTATTGTAACCTTCAATATCAACTTCAGTAACACTTCTGGAGAGAACTGAATTACATATAATTTGGTACATTAATGCTAGTAGTAACTGTTTCTGTTGCTGCTATACCAATACTACCACTAGGATGAAGGTGTGGGAAGAAGCAATTGCCTTGTGTTAGGCACAGCACTGAACACCTCACATTAATCATCTCACATAATTAATCTTTTAAAGAAGGATTGAGTTACAAATGAAGAAAGCAAAGCATCCCGTGGCTATGTGACTAGCCCAAGTCAATCCTTGAGTTCATACTTATAAGCATTACAGCATATATTGCTTTATTTTACACCCCCGCAAAGGCTGTGAGAAGTCTACCTACTGTTTCAAATCATTCCGTGCATTGTTTGGATTAGTTCAATGATGAAATTTAGAATGTTATACATAGGCTTTTGCATGTTTAGACATTTAAGTTTGCTGGAGCAAAAAATTTTAAATAATTCCTTTTGAGAAGAAAAAGAAAACTTTACTTGTTGTATATAATCAATTGCAGGGGGAAAATACTGAAAATCTCTAGGAAAAAATTATTTATATACTGTTAAGAATCACTATTAAACTCTAACGAATAGATATTGAAGAATTATACAGAGATATGCCAAATCATGACTTGTAAGAAGTTGTTATGTCATAGTCAAGTGGAAAATGGTATAATGAATTGGAGCTAATATAATTTTCTACAGATTCGAACATTGCACTGTGAATATATTTACATCTGCTTTGTGGTAAATCCTAATTTGTCTATATTTCAAATAACTGAGCCAATATTGTAATTTCCGCTGATTTAAAAATCACCAAGAAGCATTTTATTTCATGCTTTAGTAAGAAATCATAATTAGTATTTGACAATAAATCATTGTTCTTATTCTATGCATCATCCTTATCTTATTGCACTATGACAATAGTTATGAAAATATCACCAGGATTTTCCTATTTTAGCTTCCTCAAAAACACAGCTCAAAAGGTATAATTTTTTTAGTTTGTACCCTTCATTTAATTAAAACATTTTGCTATGATCTAATAACATTATTATGCTTCTTTTTTACTTAATTTATTCATTGTTTTAATTAGCATTTTGGCAAACTACTTACACTAAATTTTCTATTCTTTTCTTTACCTTTTATAATAAAACAGCAGCATTTAGAAGGAAACAGTTGAAAGAAGTATTCAAGTTAAAAGTTCAGAACAAATTTCAGATAAGAACAAACTAACATAGAAAATAAAGTGTCATGTGACCATCATTATTAAGTCTATTTGGCTTAGAAGTTTCAGCAACACACCAGACCTGTGGGGTGGCCTGCGGCCTACTCTCTCAATAAAATTGAGGGAAAAATATTACCGTGTGTCACAGTGTTTCCACGATATATAATGGCACCATTTGTACTGTAGATTTCCGTGCCCGGACAAAGAAACTAAAGAATTATAAAGTGTGGTGATTTAATTTCATCTTTATCTTTCCTTATTATTGCTGTTCATAATATTTTTATGTTGATAAAAATAATGGTGATGGGAATCATAGTAATAATATTAGCATTAAATACAGCAGTATTAATCAGTGACCAAATAGATTGAAGAAGTTTGAAGCTTTGGGCTGCCATTTTGTTACCTTGGATAACTCTTTCATACTTTACAAATCTGTTTCTTGTCTAAAAAACTTGTTCTAATTTAAATGTACCTTAACTTGTGTTTGCTTGGAAAGAATCTTCTGTACCTTCTCTTTTAAAAAGAAAAATTATCTTAGAGAAAAGGTACAATGTCACATTCTTTGTTGCCAGTGGCCCTGCCACTGAGGAATCCATGGGTGTTACTTTTGTTTTCTACATTACTTGACAACATTTTCTGTGGTAGCCATGGACACTATTTCATGTGGTTGGTACAGAGGTGTCATGGTTGATGCTGTTGTCAAGATTCAATGGTTGTAAATAGGACATTCATTCATTACATGGCATTCTTTCCCCAAGGTTGCTCCTGAGAGCCTTTGAGGGGGACAACCTTCATGAGGTAGTTTTTGACAGTATTTGTAGTTAATATTTCATTTGAATTAAAAACAACATCAATACTAGTAACATGTTTTGCTGTATTTTAAGCAGATCTGTTTAAAACAAAGTAATAACAATGTCAGTAGTTTTCAGAAACAAAAGGGTCTGGACATGTTTTGACAGAGAAAATTCTCACCTTTGCATTTCACTGATTTCTGGTTGCAGAACTTCAGATGGTGGCAAAGTGGTTGGCACCATAGAGGTCAGTGTTGTGAAGATGGGGGAGATCGAGGATGGGGAAGCCGACCACATCACGGCAGATGTACAGGGACAAAAGGTAGGATCTCAGTCAACTCATTGCACAAATTAAATTAGAAATGATCAGCTTTGCCAGAAGCCTGTATCACCATCATGCTGTGGGGTTTGAAATCTCATCATTCAAAAGCTAAATCAGCTGTGGAATTGGAGTACAATATGTGTGTGTGTTATCCCCTGAACCGGAGGACCTATTTGCATGGAACTATGCAAAGCTATGCAACATTCAGAACCACCTTTCTCCTCACTGCCAGCTCTGCCTCTTCTCAGTCAGAACAAAAGTATTGATCATCGCTGCATTCTCCCCTAATTAACCCGACGTGAGATGAACGGAAGATTCTGGGAGGGCTATTGCCAATAGTAGCCTGCTTTCTATTCCCAGGCCCATCTTGGGAAAGATTTTAATTTGGATTTCATTTTTATGTGAAGAAGGAGGATTTAACAAGAACCTTGTGCTTTATAAAATTGCAAAAAGAGAGGCAGGACATCATATATAGCAGAAAGACAGCTCTGGAGTTGGGGCAATGATTGACCGGTCAGAAGCATAACAGCGTTTCAAAGCCCAGGACAAAAGCCTGATGCTCATAAATATGTCTGGGGTTTTCTCTTTCTGCTTCTTTTTCTCTAAGAAAGAAAAACCCAATATAAATATTAGCTTAAATTCTTTCTGAGTGCAATTGCCTGATTTATTGACACACTTCAACACATAGGACAGACTTAGAAACTAACAGTGGGGTTTTTTTTTGAAAACCAGTATTTTTATGAATTATAATTCTTACTTTTTCATAAATATTCTTAATGATGAAGCCTATCATGACTTATCTTCTAATTTATTCTTTCTTATCTCTTGGAACATGTTTGGCTTTTGGTACTTAGAAAATATCTACCTGGGAAATGATGTTTATCCAATGTTTAACAAATTATTACTGTCACAAGAAAACTCTAAGGCTGCCTTTCAACTAAAATATTTGTTTTACCCCCAAATAGGCTAGGATCTTCTCAGCTCCCCCAAAATTATTTTTTCTGTTTCTCCACTCTCTCTTGGGATCATTATTCATATGTCATGAAATTATTCTGAGGATGCCTGACGTTTAAATCAGGCTGCTTGCAAATTTCAGGGCCATGGAGAAATTTAATAGGAGATCCTTTTTGGGTTGGTGCATGCAAGACTTCTCTCCTGAGGCTGGCTACTTTATTCCACTCTTGTTCCCTTTAGAATTTCACATAAAACTCATCTGTTTCACCACCACATGAATTCCTGCCATCAGATCAAGAAGAAGCAATTTGGAAGCTGGACTGGAAACTAAGTGCAGAAGTAGGCAGATAATCATGCCAGGGCTGGCAGCAGTGCAGCAGGAGCAGAAACATGTCCCCCTCCAAAGTGAAGCTGCTTTCCCTGACTCAGACCCTATTCCTGCCCACCTCTCCATCCTTGTCGCTGCTCACGCACCCTGTGACTCTAGGCTGTCACAATTATGAAGCAGTGAAAATTCCATCAATCTCTTTTTTTAGAAATGGAGAACTTGATATCTAGGACTGTGCCTTGCCAAAGCCCTACAGAATGTTTCTGGCTCAGTAAAGTTAACTCAGAAAAAATGTAAAGGTGGCGGTCACAGTGCATACCATGTCTGAGTCATCAGTTGACAAAGTGGTAAACACACAAAACTTTGTTGGCGTCAACTGTCCTATCTGGACTTTCAGAATTTTTTTTTAATAAAGTCACTATAAACTCTCTTACTAATTTCTAATAATATTTATGATTGTGTGAAGAACATATATAGTAAGGTCCAATATACACAACAATATTCGAAAGAATAATATAGAAATAACTTTATCTCACTGCCTTTCAAATTGCAGTCACAATCATTGGCGATGTTTTTTGAAATTACATATATATGGACCCCTCTGTAAGTCTGCTCTCTTAAAGTAGAATTTTAAAATATCATAAAAGAGAAAATAAGAATGCTATTAGATTGAAATTATCCCATCTGCTTTCCAGTTTTTATGGAAGTCGTGAGTATATGAAGGTCACATTTCTGTGTTCACTTTGCAAAATAGATGTTCTGTTAGGAATCATAAAGTTGATTTTGTTTATTCAGAGTCCAGGAAAGCAGTGTCTCAGAACAGTGGCCTGATCGCTATCAGTTATGGACTTCACTAAAATGGTTCAAAGTGAAACATTCCTGTAAGTTCTGTTAATGATGTTCTTTTGGAAAAAAGGATGACTCAGAGCTATTGATCTAGTTATTATGGGGAAGGCCATCAGGGAAAAATCATGAATAGATTTCCTGGCCGGTCTGATAACATTAGGTTTTACTGCTCAGCAGTAGCCATTATATATGCTAGAGGAGAACACTGACAGGATGAATACAGTGTTTGTGAAGGACTACTTAAACGGACTGGATAGGGAGAGGAGGAGGAGAAATATGGGGGACAGGAGGAATAAAAATTTTAAGTATGTCCAAGCATCATGGCACATTGCTCCAGTGGTTTGACAACTACATTTGCAAAGTACTGTGGATTAAAAGAAGGGGAGGATCTATGACTTCTGTTTGATCAAATGATTTAGGGGACACCAAATGTAAGAGCTGTTTGTAGTAATTCATTCTTTTACTAAAGTCAGAACTCAATAATGAAATTATGAAAGTGTAGGTTTTGCCCATCAACAAATCTGCTGAGTAATGAGATGAATGTCGCAGTAGAGGTATAAGTAGTAAGCTATAAGAAAACAGAAAGTAACATTTAAGTCAATATTTTGAAGTATTTACCTTCCTTCACCATATACTTGAGGAATAAACAGTGATCTCAGTGTCTGTGTCTCTCAAAAGGGGTCAATCCCTGGGGGAAGGAAAATAAGGTGTGGAGAAGGAACTGTGTTCTACTCAAGCAGCTGGGAAATAGCCCAAGAATGTCTAGTGCCACCTCCTGGGGACAATCACCTGAGCCTTACAGGACCTGCAGGAGGATGCTTCCTTTAGATCCTGTTAGTCAAAGAACTTTCTAGGCTTTTTGTTTGTCTCATTTTCTTTACACTTGCTTGTTTATATCTAGTATATTTGCTGTGAAAATTCACTCTCGCTCTTCCTCTTATCCCCTACCACCTTTGACTAGAGATAGGAAATTCATTTGAAGAAACCAATGCTAGACCTGTCTGAGGCAGGCTAGATCGGCTATAAGGTGTAATCTTAAAAAATTATGATTTTCATTAAAAAATCATAAAAATTTAAGAATATGTTTAAAAACCTGAGCCAGGAAATAAGACGAAATCAGGAACTAAAGATGAAAATCACTAGAACAACAAGGAATTGGAATATAGATGCTTATAGTCCTTCTATCACCCTCCCTTCTTTTAGATGCTAAGTGAGTTGTAATCTCCCTAAATGAGTCTGAGAATGGAAGGTAATTCCTTGATTCAGAAAAGAAATGCCCTAAAAGGTCATGCACATTATTCCCATGATTTAGGTCATAATAAACCCACCATAAACCCATGGTCTCCAGCAAAATGATTATGGGTTCTTAGGTGATGTGCCTATGTGTCTAGGTAAGGATTCAGGCTGGATTCCCCAAGCTCAGAAAGTACAAATACACCTGGGATGGGGGGCCACCATTTTGCACCTCTTTTTCCCACCTCCTGTGTGTCAGCAGGTGTGGGACACACCTTCTTTCTGGCCTTCTACTCTGTGAGTTTCCTTTTTTTGTGAAACCTTTGGAAATGCTTTTTGTCATAGATTTCAAGGTCTTTTGGTGCTGGGGGATGACTGGGAAATTAAGTAGAGAATTCTACTCTCTTCTCAGTTCTCATCCCTCCAGTCCTTCTCTGATAGCATTTCCATGTGAAAATTGGTCTCTTATTAACCTCCTGGGATCAGAAGAGCTTGGTTTCCTCTCTTAGTTGCAGTCTCATAGGAAGTCTCCTGGTTACTGACAGATGGTCTGGAACGTTCTCTCCCGTCATAGTCATTCACTAGAAACAAGTCAATGTGCTCCTCTGTGTATTCTCTCTCTGTCCAGAGAAATGTCATTTCTGCCAATACCATGATCTTTCTCAGTCATGCACTCTGGAGATCAGCTTATTTATTAATACTCCTCATATTTTATGAGCAGTGTTTGCATTGTTTTGGTTGGAAAAAAGAATATCCTTTTGCCCTATATGATTAGATCTGTCAGTATATTTTATCTTTTACTTGAAGTTGCCTTTACATAAAATTTAGAAAATAATTTGCTTTCTATTGATCTGAAATTAGCCCAGGTGAAAGAAATGAAAATAATTCAGTTAATCAAGTATGACTTATTATATAAAATAGATATCCCTAGGACATTGGGGATTTCCCTTCCCTGAGTAGCCTTTAGCCAGAGCTGAAATAGCATCTGTAATTATATGGTACAAGCATATTACATGTAAATGTGAATAAATAATCATAAGCTAAACAAGCTTCCCAGTAAAGATAAGGCTAGAAATAATTTTACTGAAAATGATTTGGTTAAACTTTTTGAAACCATATATGTAGCCTCATGACCTTAATAATATAAAATCATTTAATTTCTCATTGTGATAATTTTTAAATATATTGAATTCCTTTTTTCCTTTATTCTTTCCTAGTGTGCACTGGTATATGAATGTACAGCCCCAGAAAGTGTGAATGGAAAAGATAACTTACCTTTTTTGAATTCAGGTATGTAAGTCAGTTTTGGATATTAAAATTAATGTCATGTGAACATAAATTTTAATTTTCTATGAGCTCAACACCAAACTTGGACAGCATTCCTAGAGAATCTTTACTAAGCATTTAGTAAATGAACTGGTGAGTCCAGTAGAGCCAGCAGAAGGGGGGCAAATTGGACAATTCTGTAGGAAAGATATATAAACACCTTAGCCAGATGGCTGAATGATTAAATTCCTTTTGGTTATTGAACTGAATATTATCTGAAACAAAAAAAAACCTAAAGGAAATCATAGCAAGCTTTGTAGATTACTAAATTACTATTTGTGATGTACAAATTGTAATCAGGTAAAGGAAACAGACATGTAATTGCTGGGAGCAGCTGTGCTCTGCAATGTAAGTCACTTACTCAGAGGAGTGGAAGGTCAGGGGTTATTGCTTTTCTCCTATCATAAACGTGACAATTTTGGCAATACAGTCCACTCTGTTCTGAAAATCCTAAATTTTTTTAGCCCAGGGAACTTTAAGGAACGCTCTGCACCTAGGATATTGGCTACTTTTTTTTTTTTTTTGAGTTTTATGAAGGAGGATCAGATGAAATGAAAGGTAGTGTCATAAAGACTAGATTTAAAAAAAATTTTAAAATTGCAAACTAAGCAATAGCTATAAAATATCTCCATTCAAAATACAAAGTGCATTGTATAGATATAGAATATGTATGACTTTGGCCTGTGTGTACCTTTCTCTTTTATTCTATTTGTCTATCTATCTATCTAAACTCAGCAGCTTTGTCACGGATCCATTAAATTCCCATGTGGTATTGCTTTGTTGAATCTGTAGGCAAAGGGAGCTATTGACATTCTTCCCAAGGCTTTGTACTAATGTATTATATGGAACTTGCCAGTGTAGAGTGAGTTGTGAAGTACTTATTGACTGAGTGGGAGAGAATGCCATGTTTCATAGCAGCTGTTCATGCTTCTATTTATATCTCTAGAGGCTTTCATTTATAATTCAAGAAACTCACTTATCTGTTGTAAAAAGCAAAAGCTCTTTGCCCTAAGGTCTTATCCTTTTCATGGCCTGTTTACCTTGCAAGTTGAATGTGTGTGTTGGGAATCTGGAGGATTGAGGGCACAGAAGGAGCAGTGGGGGCAGAATTTTCAATTCCGTAAGGAAGATCTACAAGTTTCTTAACTGTATGGGAAACAAGCAGGACCCTAAGAAGACCCAATGAGTATTAGATATGGGATGCTCTTATTTAGTTTGACTTCCTAATTATATAACTCATAAGATAAAGTTGCTAAAAGAAGAGATATAACTAATTATTGGCTTATTCATTTATGTAAAGTGGTAGTAAGAAAGCTTAACTCTTATGCTAGGTCTTGAGGAGCAGAGGAAGTTAATTTTGAATGTAGAGCAGTGTAGCTGGTAAGGTCTCTCACAGGTCTGAGGAGTTGGCTGTTCTTGCTAAGTCACATCAACCAAGGCACCCTGTCTGCATCTGAACAATAGATGGCCTCTTGTGGTGTTCAATCAGAGCACAGACCAGACTCTCCAAAGATCCAGTGTCAAAGCCCAGACTTGCCAGTAAGTAGAGTGAGCTTGGTTTTGCATTTCAATGGTGAAATTGATCTGTACAGTCTTTGACTTCCCTTTTGGCTCTCAAATGTTTGAAGTGAGTGTAACAGAGTTTAGTTTTTCCTGTTTTCTTTCTTTTTAAAAAAAATATCATAAATATATTCATTTAAATTAGTTTAGCATGATACCATATACAAATTCTTTGTCATTTACAGGTTTATTTTTTTCTTTTGTCTCAGAAGTTATCATTTATGGAGATAAAACAAAACTTTTCTCAAGAAGACACATCTCTCTAGATTTTTTACTTTTCCATTGTTTTTGGTATAACTCTAAATAGTATTGCACTTATTACAATGCCAAGTCAGAGGAACTAATGTTCCTTGTCACAAAGATTCCTACCGTTGTTGCATTTTGAGAAATTTCTCCCTGTCAGCAAGCATTTGTTCTGACACGGTGCTTTCCTTTCTTGAATTCCGTACTTCTTGGATCATAAAATTATTCTTTGTATTCTTTAAAGACCATTTTCATGGCATTCATTAAGGTATATGCTGTCCTTCAATTTCTGAGAGAGCATATCCAACTTTGGTGATTTCCACCCTTCTCAAAGAAGGGAAAAGGCTAAGGGGAATTCCTTGGTGAGAGAGAAGGGGGAAAAATCTCAACTCAGTGTCCCAGTTTCCATGCAAGTCACAGGAACTTGAAATCCATGATGAAAAGCATTTTTTTTTTTTTTGCAGTCTTAGGATTTTATTTTTTTAATTTTTTTTATTCATTTATTCATATGTGTATACATTGTTTGGGCTATCTCTCCCCCGATTCCCCTTCTCCTCCCACCCCCTCACTTCCAGGCAGAACCTGTTCTGTCCTCTTCTCCAATTTTGTTGAAGAGAAAACATAAGGGATAATGAGAAAGACAGAGCATTTTGCTAGTTTGAGATAAAGATAGCTATACACAAAGATTCCTAGCATTGCTTCCATGCACATGTGCATTACAACCCACATTGGTTCATCTCTACCAGACCTCTTCACTACTTCTCAGTCACCTTCCTCTGTCGGTTTAAGATTACTATATTTGCTCCTCTACAGTGAGCACATCAAACACTTTCAAGTTTTAGGTTTTCTTCTCTTTCCCTATTCCTCCTGTACACACCCTCCCCTTAGTGTGTGACCCATGTCCAATAATGTTAATACATTTGTTTTGGGTCTATAATCCTCATATGAGGGAGAACATATGATTTTTGTCCTTCTTAGCCTGGCTAACTTCGTTTAAGATGATGTTCTCCAGTTCCATCCATTTACTTGCAAATGACAAAATTTCATTCTTCTTTGTGGCTGAAACCATTTGTTGGTTGTGGGGCATCTTGGCTGTTTCCAAAGCTTGGCTATTGTGAAGAGTGCTTCAATAAACATGGGTGGGCAGGTGCCTATGGAACAACCTGAGTTGCTTTCCTTTGGCTATATCCCTAGGAGTGGTATTGCTGGATCATATGAGAGATCTATGTTTAATGTTTTAAAAAAGCCTCCATATTGTTTTCCAAAGTGGTTGTACTAGCTTACACTCCCACCAGCAGTGTACGAAGGTTCCTTTTCCATCTTGAGAGGTTTCACAAAAGTCAAAATTCACAAGTGGAAAATTAGCAAGGATTTATTTAGCAAAACAGGAGAAAGTAGGGAGAAAAGGAGACGGGAAGAAGCACCCTTTGCTTCACAAGCAGGGGCTGGGAGCAGAGACACTCTGTCAGAGCCAGCAGTGGGACTTTGCCTCAGTTCCTTGGAGCTTTTCTCACAAGGACCTTGCCTATGTGAGTTAGTATCTGGCCTTGTGAGAAAGCCAGACGTCCAGAAAAACAGTATTCAAGGTTCCCAGATGGCTTCGTGTCCTTCAGATGTAAATAAGAAAGTTACGCTGAACGTGTGTTTCTTCTGCTTCTCTGTTCTTATTTTAAAGGAGACATAAGAAAGAGTTAATTTTAACTGTGCTTCCCTGTGCTAATGTAACCTTGACACCTAATACTTGGCATGCTTTTTCTGACCAAATGCTCTCTGTGTAAAAGGAGTTTATAAAAGCAGTAGTATGCTTCATTAAAGTGGTTATTGAGCAGGATTCAGTAGACCCCTCATTTTTTACGGCTCCAGTCACCCATGTCCTGCTGGTAAATGGCTAACACGCTCAAGAACATCTGTTTTTGCCCTGGACATACTTGTGTTTCTTGAGCTAGGGGACTCAGAGTGACCATTCCTCTATCAGCCCCTCATCATTTGGCTGTTTCCAGGCATGGAGACAAGTGGGTTTAGTTGGGTCCATTACCCTAAACATGGCTAAGACAGAACTTATTTTTACACAAAACATGGAGACAAGGAGCCTAGGCCTACCCAAAACATAGGGTCAATCGGTATAACATGTAGGGTTCCTTCCTGGTCAGATAATCCATTCATCAGTCCTTTGATTCACTGTCTCCCTACATGTTTAGGAGTTTGCAGTTTAACATCTAAAATAAAAGGCAGACATGCTTTTATTCTGTGTCTTTTAATTCAAGGAGATTTAATATATTTACTACCTAAAAGGAGAGCAGTGGTAGGAAAGCTTGCTGGCTTAGTGATTTTTTAGCCTTTACTCTTTGATTCTGTTTTAATTCCTGAATTTGGCCTTTTTAGTTTTAGTTTCTTTTATTTTGTATTACTTTTAATTTCTCTGTCACCTGATCTACCTATCTTGTCTCACCGTAACTATGTAGGATACAATGTTACCATTCATAAATACATAGGTGCAGTTTACCATCCTATTAAGAGGATTTATTAGTGCATTGCTTATGACTTTACAAATGAGCCACACCTTTCCTCAAAATTGGCCTCTATATTTCTGATTCTTTCTTCTTAAAATTAGGTTAAACCATCTATGACTGTTGCTTCATAGAAGATATTACATTGTCAGGTACTACAGACAGAACATTGCTTCTTTCTTTTCATATTTAAAAAAATATTGTATACATTTTATTTTAATAAGCACTGGACCCTTAAATCTTACAAGTTGAATTTCACAGTATTTAATGTGCATACTTTTCATTGTCCTAATAAAAATTTTCTGTCATTTAGAACTTGATTAATAATTTATTGGTAAAATAAAAAAATCATTTAGAAATAATTGTTTGGGTCTCTGATGAATGTACACCTTTGAGGTTTCAAGAGAACCAGACAAGACAGCCAATTCTTCCATATGGCCTTTTAGATGAAAGTGATTCCTAACCCTAAACACTCAGCCACATATCTGGGGCTTTCCTTGTTAAATGTCACGGGGAATGGTCTGCAAACATAGAGGGACTTGGAATCTGAATCAGATCCAATCCTCTCACTGATACCCTCTTAAGAAGTAAAGGATCCAGGACTAACATATCTTGTGATGGGTGTTTAGCTGCCAGTGATGGTCACACGTCTGG